ACGTAATAGTTTAAGTAAGTAATTATATTAGCTAAGTTTAATTACTTAAGAATATACTTAAGGTAAGAGTCTCTTTTAAACTTCTTAGAAAGAATACTAGACGTAGACTATTTTATTATATTATTAGTAATATTAAAATACTTTTTAATCTTAGACTTAAACTATTTAAGCTTATAAGTTAATAAAGAAGTACTAAAAATTTAGTTAAGGTAATTATAAAGTAGACTAAAATAGTATATTTCTTACTTACGCTTACTATTTTAATAGTAACTAATCTAATCTAAATTATAGAAGTTATTATAGAGTTTATACTTAGTAATCTTATAACTCTTCTTATTATATATATAGTAAGTATTAGTGTACTTAGCCTTTCTATACTAAATAGTTTCTCTCTTAGAAGCTATATTTTTAAGTACTTTAGTAATAAAAGAACTATTATTTCTTTTAATAGAAAGTTCTTTTTTAGTTATATAGTTTATAAAGTATAAAGTATTATAAAAATTCTTAAAGATTAGAGTAACTAATAAGTAGGCTATAAAGAAATAAACTATATCTATATTAAGTCTTAGTTTATTTAGTAAAGTTATAAGTTATTCTACTTTAGAATCTACGTTAGAAGAAAGTAGAAATTCTTACTTCTTCTATTACTTCTTAAGATTAGTAATAATACTCTTTACTTTCTTTAGGTTAAAAGTAGCACGCTTATTAGTAAGTATAATATATTTTATCTTAGTATCTATACTACTACGTTTCTAGATATATATATTATTAATAGTATTATTCTTTTTATAGTATTCTTTAAGAAAGGTATAGATCTTATTTATATAGTACTTAGCCTAATTATTACTTTTAAAAGTATTAAGTATTATAAAAGTAACTATTTATTTATTATACTTTAGAAGTTCTTAGTAAAAGAGAAAGCTAAGTTTCTTTTATAAAACTTACTTATTAGTAACATAAGCTTTAGCTATTATATAGAAGTAAGTATAATACTTAGTAAGACTAAGTAGATTATTAATATACTTATAGATAAAAGCTTCTAAGTATAAGTGCTTACCTATCTTAATAGCTATATTCTTATCTACTTAGTATTTCTTTATATTTACTTTAAGCTTAGCCTAGTTCTTTTTCTTATAACTAGTAAAAAGCTTAATAATATAAGTAATAGAGTAATTCTTATTACTAATATAATCTAGAAGAATAAAAACTTTTATCTTATTAAAGAAGCCTTTATTATTAGCTTATTAGTTATAGTCTTTAAAAAACTTAGTAATATTATTACTAGTAAAAACTAAAGTAGCGTATCTAGAGTAAACTATAGAGACTATACTATTAGTTACTATTATAAATAATAATATACTTTCTACTTTAGAGATAGTTTTAAAGGTTAGTATCTTTAGTGTTAAAGTAGTTAAAGAAGTAGTAGATAAATGCTTAGAAGAAGAAATTACTAGATTTCTTAACGCTTTATACTTCTTCTATTTCTTTAGTAGTTATTATAGTTTTAAATAACTTATAAAGAAGCTAATACTTCTTTACTTAATAGCTTAAATACTAAATAAATCTTATTTTATAGAGATTATATAATTAAAAGATAAGTTCTAAATACTTAATAGAGTTCTTTTTCTCTCTACCTAATAGTAGAGAATACTTTCTAAATACTTTTATAGTTAGTATAGCTTAGCGTTTTACTTACTATAATACTTTATTAGGTTATTAGTTCTATTAAACTATAGTTTTACACTAGTGTATATTCTAAATATACTATTATAGTATTATATTAACCTAGTTAGTCTAGTATTTTATTATACTTCTAATATTACTATTCTAAGTATTAGTTAAATTACTATTTTCTAGTATTTCTAAGTAGTTACCTTATCTACGTAATTATTTTATTTAATATTGCTTAGTAGTAAGAACGTAGTTAGCCTAAATATAGCTACTATTATAGTTCTAGCTAACCTAAAGAAAAGAGCTAAGTCTATACTTATTATATTTATTATAGTTATTATTACTATATATATTACATTAACGTATACTAACTACTTCTTATACTATATAGTAGAATATATCTCTATAGGCTTTACTATTTATATAGATATTAGAGAGTATAAAAATATATTACTATAAGAATATAAAGTAGTTAGTATAAGTAAAAAAGTATATAAACGTTAGTTTAGTAGAAAGAAGTCTTATTATAGAAAGATTCTATTATTTAAAGTATTATATAAGAGTCTAATACTAAAAAATATAAGTAAAAGATAAGATAGTAGATAATTTAATAATTCTAAAGAGCTTTTATTAAAAGACGTTCTTTTTCTAGGTAATTCTTAGATTATTAAAGATCTAATTTATATAAGAACACCTTATACACTAGTATAGTAAATAGATTAGACTTTTTAAAAGCGTAAGTTAGAGTAGTAAATAGATTATAAGTAGAAGTAAAAGTACTTATAAAACTAGAGCTCTACTTCTTACTAGAAAAACTATACTTAAAAAAGTCTTTAGAAATACTATAGAGCTTATTTAAGTACTTATAATTCTTTATTTTAAAGAGAGTAGCTAAATACTTAAAAAAGTTAAAGGTATTAGAGCTTAATAGCTTAGTCTTTAATATACTTATATAACTAAAATTTAAAAAAGTTACTTTAAAGGCGCTTATAAAGCTAGAACTAAACTACTTATTTTTAGAAAAGTAGCTATTTTTATACTTATACTTATTTCTTTTTAATATAATACTAAAAAGCTTAGAAATAAATATAAAAAGGTATACTTAGTTTAATTAGTATAATAAAGTATACTACTAAAGTTAGTAAGCGTACTAATAAAAATTAAAAATACTTACTCTTATTTTAAGTAAGAGATAAAAAGTATTTAGCTAATTAAATAATTTTTAGTAATATTATAATTAGCATATATATACTAAGTAAGCTTTTAGTACTATATATACTCTAATAAGTATATAATTAGTATTTTTAGCTATAATAAGAAAGCTTATTATAACTATATAGTCTACTCTTATAAGCTACTTAAAAAGTATATTATAAAATATACCTCTAAATACTCTCTAAGAGTATAGTATATAATTATACTAGTATAGATTAAAATAAGCTTTTAAAAGCTTTACTACTTAAAAAAGCTTTCTAAGTAAGCTTATAATATAATAATTTATCTTCTATTTATTTCTATACTTCTAGATATAATATTAAGCTAGTTAAGTTATATTACTAAAAAGTTAGCTTAAGTAATATAAGTAATAATAATACTTAGAGCACTACTAATAGTATATAGTAATTAACTATTAAATAATAGAGTTAGTTAAATACTAGATATATAATAGTAAACTATAATTAGGTATATTATTCTAAAAAGACTAGAAACAAATCGCTACTAAGCTATAATAGCAATTCTAAGGTATTTATAGCTAATACTAAGTTAGCCTAGACTTTTTAGAGCTAGAACTTAATATTAACTATAATAAAGTTAACTTTATTTAGCTAGAAATTAATACTTTAAACTAGCTACTTATAAAGTATATTAATAGTACTCTTAGCTAATATAAAATAAAGTAGCTTAAGTATATATATATAAAAAAGATTAGTATTAGTAATACTATTATTACTAGATATAGTAAGCACTTTAATTTACTTAAATAAGCGTAGTTTAAAGTAGTAAGTATAAGTTAGTAAAAATAATAAAATACTAAAGTAAAATTATAAGAGAAAACTTACTTAAAGACTAGTGTTTTAGTAATAAAATTACGTTAAAATATTAGAAACATTAGAGGCTACGAGATTGTGCATCTAGGGAACACGTGGAGCTCTCTTGGATGGAGATGCTCTACTGTTATACGGGGCACATGTCAATGCACATACACTTGCTTGATTCCTACAGGCCCGGTTGATCTGAAATGTTGCAGCCGCTAAGCTGACAGCTGCCGCAGTATTCGTGAGAATGCTAGGCCGACCGACCTACAGGTGTCATATCGTCGTCAAGCTTACTATGTAGACGTGCTGCCGGCGAATGGGAAGGCTATGCGCATCTCAGCTTAGCGCACGGCGTTCCTATTCGACGGCTTTACCACGCGAGCAATATTTCCGGCGGCCGGCTGGACTTCACCTATGTGATCACACCACCACACCACGCGCACCATACTACGTCGATTCCGTCTTTGCTCAATCACTCTGATCTGCCTGTGAAGAAGTTCAGCTACAGAATCGCTACACTGCTATTTCTCCAGGTTTGGAGTGCTCGACAGTGCAGATGGCGTCCTAATAGCCGCTGAGGCTGGACACCAACAGCACGTGTGACAGCGCATCACAATGACATCGAATGGGGATTGCGCATCTCGCCTCAAGCGCCCTTGGGAACAGAGCGGGCTCACATCTCGTCTTTGATGGGTGCTCTTCTCGCTCGTCCCTACCCTTTTCGTCTAATCGCTACTGCATTAGGACGCCTGCACGACGCCTCTAAATTGCATCTCTAGAGCACTTTCGACCCCATCGGCTTTCTTGGGACATGTTCAGCTACAGTGATGGACCGCTATGACATCTTCCGGAACGATTGCTGAGCTCTGAGCAAGTGCGATAGCTCGCACGCGCGCACCCTCGACTACGTTTGCTGTATTTCATCTTCTGGATCAAAGGTTCATGTGGTTTCTACCAAGTCACATTCGACGTCCACATGTGGGCTACGAAGGCTGTGATAATCCAAGATCCACTAGGAGGCGCTTAGTTGCATATGACAAGAACTTAGTGCTCAGCCTTCCCAATGGAGACGTCCACGGGTAAGAGAACCATGACTGCTCGTTGTTTGCAAAGGCTGGGTGAGACTTTCTAGGTAATTCTTTCAATGACTCCATTCTGTGTACCTTTACTGCGACTGCTAGAATGAGTACAAACACCGCAGGCATCACTATCACAGCAATAATCACGAGCACAGCCGTCTACACACCTTCACCAAGCCTTGACAACGCTCAAGTATCGTCAACATCATCGGCAATGTACCATTCGGAAAACGATCGCTCGCTCTCTACACCGGCTGCCATCGGAATCGGCATCGCTATTGGCATCGTCTGCACCGTACTGGTCCTTGTTACAGTACTGTTGCTACACCGCGCATGGAGACTTCGCCGTTCACCACCAGTAAAGCAGTACAGGCAAGCCAAGTTATGGAAGGGCTTCGAGCCGGTCACTCCGAGCACCGCGAGAACTACTTTCGTTGGAACCAAGATGACCAACATATACTTGACGGAGCTACCAACACCGGTCACACCTGCCTTCCTTATGAGCCCACCGTTGCGGGGAGAGGAAGTAGACGTGGAAGAGAGATCTCGACGCTATAGCGAACCTGCATAGTCATGCTGTATACGACGGATGGCTTGTATGCAGTTTCGAATCAAGCTGGCGCAATATATGAGACAGGGCTATAGCTATGTTGAGAGTCTACGCACGAACTCCATCACGTCTCTCAGTGATCGTGCCCAGCAGATCCCAACTCTGCTCACGACTACGAACAAGAACAACCTGCGCCTTCTACTCGTCGCTGCCTGTAAATGTACAGGATCTTGCAACTGGCTCGTTGAGATCCTGCGCAGTCTTCCCGGCTTCGGTGTCGTCAACTCCCGTCACGTCTCTGAGATCGTTCCCACGCTCTTTCCCCTCAGCGCAAGCACTCTGGACTTCCTAATCCAACGCCTCACCGGCGGGACGCGCAAGGTGGTCAGTGAAACGTTTACGCATATAAAAAAGCACAGCACCAGCAGCATCGCTGCCCTGCTACAGGCTCGCATGTGTAGGTTAGACATGGTGATCTCGCGGAACCTCCCCCGCCGCGACCGTCGCCAGCCACCCCAGAAGAAAGCACAGCCGGCTTCTCGTGCAAGTCTGGCGGGAGTTCCAGTCGAGCTATTTAGCATGATTCTACGCCACCTTGCGTGCTGCCACACTCGCTCACTCCGGCAGACGTGCAACAAGGAGCTCGTGTGCAGATACAAAGACAGCTTCTACAACATTGGCGATCCGACCACCGCTTCCCTCCACATGAGTCCCAAATGAGGGAGACACAAGCACATGCTGACTTTATCTCCGTAGCTTGACGCCGACTTTCCTGCGCGCGCAGTGTCACTTGCAAAGTTTGAGCGGTGGAGCGATCACATCACCACACTACGCTTCAAGGTCCCGAGAACCGCATTCTTCTACCAGCTGCATCAGGGCGCCGCAGCCGATGGCGATACCTTCTCAGCAATGTCGGATACGAAGGATTTCAAGTCTGCGCTCGCGCTATTGACGACCCTTCCTCGATGCAAAGCTGTTCAGATCCAGCACGACACCCCAAGCAGCGGCTGGCTCCTATGCGACTACCAATCCAGTCGACGGGAGGTCCGTGACAAGACCATGGCTGTCCAGGGCGACGTGTTGCGCGAGAACCTGGAGGTATGTTGTACTCGCTGTCTGTACAAGACACGCACTAACTCTGCGTAGCATGGTCTTGTTGGCTTCATGCTTTCTTCGCATTCGGAATGGTACAACGAGTACCGCCTATGCTACTTCGAAGAGCGAGAGAAGGAGGCAGAGGAAGGAGGTCCACGCGCAGAGGCAGAGGAAGAAGGCCGACGCACAGAGATGGGGGAAGAACGCCGCGGCCATGAAGAGACCGAAGATGCGTACGCAGGCCAGTCCCGAGACATGGTTCGTGATGAGTATCGCTCACGTGGGCTTCCTCGGCTTATCCCAAAGAAGAAGGCGGACATTGTGGCGGCTCTGCAGAAGGACGATTTGAGGAGGTTGGAGTAGATGGTCATGCCCTACTAGGACACGCTGCTCATGGCGTTGACGACCTACAACCACTTCTATGCTACACTCGCTCTGATCCGGGTACATGATCTGTTCCATGTACATATTACGGCTTTCCGGACACTGGTATGGTCTGACGCGCGCGGTGGTGGTGGTGGGCCACTCCTTCCTCTTCTACGAAGCGAAGTAAACAGTCAGCCAAACGCGGGAAGCTTCGTCTCTCGCACACTCGGATTTCAGTTCTGACCTGGGTAGCTCGCTCAATCCCTTCAGTTTGCTTGCAACCAGTACTGCCGCCATCGAAACCCCGCGGCCGCTCTCAGAACCCTGCCGCCATCAGCATCCCTCTCTCCGCCATCAGAACCTCGTCCCCCACCCCGCCATCACAACGGCATTCGCAGGGAAACGCAACGCGCAAGAGCTCAAGAAGCTGGAAAAGACGGATGTTAAGATATCAGAGGCGAGACTCTTCAACGCATACGGTAAGTTCTGGCTGCGCGAAGTGCATGAGACATGTATACTGACTTCATACTGCAGCGACCACACAGAACGTGATTGAAGATATCGAGGAGTTGTTGCCTCGCCTCTCCCCTCACCATCCAGAGATTGCCGAGTTGCTTCAGACGGCCAGGGCGGAGCCCGTGACACCCTTCACCATCCATGGGCATTGTGACGACAGCGAGACGAAGACTTGGCAGAAGACCGACCCTGCTGTGGATCGCTGGTTTCCGAATGCCATTGAGCAAGCTCCGTACATAGACGATCCGCCCTTCTGGTTAGACCAGCACGCAGCAAACCATGTGAAGCTGTATTAGGTCGCATGGCATGGCTGGCGAATAACGCAGACGGCGAACTATGTCGCATCACATTTTCGCTACCACATCAATCGAGAAAAAACACTGGACAGCCTGGGGCCTACATCGACTTTGGGTCTCACACTTTGCACATTCTCATCTTGATGTAGTCTCCAGACCTGTTCGAATTTTTTCTTGCATGAGATGCTATGCTCCCACATCCAGAGCTAATGGAGAGGTATCGCGCATATGTCACCACATAGGCCCACATCGTTGTCTACAGCGAGAGTTGTGCTTGTCGTTGGTCGCTATCCACAAGCATTATACGACCAGTACCTCGATCTCAGCCACATCAACGCGACCGAGGTCAAACTCGGACACGGCATAGGACGGATAGCGTGGCTGGAACGTGATGTTCACGGCAAGCTAAGCCGCATCGTCCTCTACATCAACCACCCGGAGTGCTTCAAGAGGTATCGAGCCCACGTTACCACGAAGGCCCAACATCGGCAAGCCCTCCGAGAGCGCCTTGTGGACCTGACAATGGTCTACTTCAGGCGGCCGGTCTCTCTCCCGGCCTTTCTATCTACCACGCAGACATGGCACCAGCACTCGACTGGACAGCTCGTTCCGCTGCGCGTGTTCGCCGACTTCCTTGACGGTGATGGCGATGAGACAGAGCTGAGGACAGCGCTGACGTGGCCACGAACTCCATCTGGCTTCGAGTGCCTCCGCGACTGGCTTCAAGGTCGGTCATTTACCGTTGCAGAGATCTCGAAGATCGCGCTCATCTACAAGGTGCACACCGTCGCCGGTGAGGACTGCCGGACATTCTTTCAGAGCGCCGAGATGATCGCGCGCTATGGGCCAAGGGCAGCCACGTTCGAGAAGGCGATGGAGCGTATGTGGGACAACACCGCGCTGATCGAAGAAGACGACGACGAGGAAGAAGAGGGACCTACAAGGAAGAGGACCAAAGTGACCGGACTGAAGGCTGGGCTGTCAAAGGAAAGGTACGATCGCCAGACCTACAAAATGAACCAAGCAAAGATCGCCGCTGGTGACAAAATCGCCGCGGAGAAGTTCGACAAGAAGCGCAAGAGCATCACGCAAACCAACAAAACCATACAGGCGAAGGTCGCTGCCATGGATGGGAAGATACCATTCAACGATGCGCTTGACAAGAGCAAGATGTCGACTACGAAGAAGGCACCGAGCAAGTCCCTAGAGTCAGGGCGCCGGTCGAGAGCCCTCCGCGATCTGAAGATCGCACAAGGTGACCCTAAGGCTATCGAGAGCAAGAGAAAGCAGAGGGAGAACCAGGCCAAGTGGAGGCAGTCCCAGAGAGAAAAGGTCAAGGCCTTTGACTTGAAGCAGGCTGAGAATGAGAAGAAAGTGGAGGACGAGCAGAACTAGAAGAACACATGGACGACATATTGAGTCATAGGATTTAGCAGATATATGTATGCGCGCCTCTGATAAGTATGACAGAAAAGAAATCACTCTGGAGGTGTTCGCAGTGCTACACAGGTGTAGTCTCTCAGCATAAAAGTCAATGTATACCTCAAACTATGCTATGTAAAATGATCTGTCAAGACATGCTTCATTGTAGACGTCTAAGATAACATGAATTCCTATCTTCTTGTTGTCGCACTGCAGGTAACTCTGTTAGAATAGACCTACACGAAGCGGTTGGCTGTCGCGCAACACCGTGAACAAAAAGGGCTGGCGATCCGAGAAGAGCTCGTAGATGTCAATACTAAAGTATCTCGTTGCAAGTGCAGTTTATACGCTCTCGATCCGACTTCAGTCTAGTGCTGGGATATTATCAATCCTACTTGTGCTGCGCGTCAGAAGCACGTACAATCTGTATCAGGGCGGAGGCCATACTTCGCGCTTCGCAGCAAAGAAGAGCCAAACAAGAGAGCACGTACCACACCGACGAATACAGAAAAGGAGTAACAGAGTATGTAGTAACAACGCTAGTGTATCCGCCTTTCTATGCAGCGTGAATGGATGCCCCAAAATACCGAACGGGCACGACTGAAGTTTGCAAGATAAAAAAAAATCCTAAAAAGCTTCATGCGTCCTAACGCATTCTTTTCGCAGCGCGCGTTGCAGTAAAAAAAAACGAATAGCTTCCGAATCCGGGAATCTGAGTGAATGTTAGAATTGGGGGTCGAACTGAGGTGTTGTGAATTGAGCTTACCGAACCCGGCTCTTCTCGGTGAAAGCGAGATATCCTAGCCGATGGACTAATTCGGATGATCTGATTGATGAGAAAAATTTGAGCAATTCCGTCCATATTTCTTTTTGTTGCAACACGACTCTGTGAGGGCATCTTGCATGTGTGCAAGTGGGGCTGCGCGAAGCAAAAAGCTGCTAGTAGGTGGGGTAACGTTGATGTGTATGACAGATGTGTTCGAGTTCCGCTTGCTCTTTCAACCAGCACACATGATAGTCTGTTCTTTCGCTGCCACTACCGTCAATGTAGCATCGAAAATGCCTTGTCGGCTAAGAACAGAACCTAGTAAAAGATCGTCGGTCTTCATCAGCGCACTCAAATCACAGGCATCAGAAGGATTTGCACGCGAAGAGAATAGTAGTCGAATGTGCAACACATATCATTCAGTCAAAGAAGCTATGAACCAAAGCGATCCAAAGCAAGTAGGTACAAGAAGTGAAGAACACCAGAGTGTTACTTTCCATCATCCATCTTCCAGGATTTTTCCATCACGTTTCCTCCAATTGTCATCACACCACAAACTTAGACGCGGAAAGCGCGGGGGTGGCGGCGGACCTTCTGGCTGGAAGAGCCAGCCTTCTCCTCGAGCCAAGAGATGAAGGTGTCGAGGGTGAACTCCTTGTCGAGGCTGGCGCTGCCGGTCTGAGCAGGGGCGGAAGCAGAGGCAGCAGGAGTAGAGACAGCGGCGACAGCGGCGGAGCTTGTGGCAGCAGGGGCAGAAGAGGCAGGGGAGGCAGCAGCGGACGAGGCAGGGGCAGAGGCAGAAGGCTTGGGCGCGGAAGCGTTGTCAGAGCCGGAGCCGGAGCTGGCACCGTCGAACAGAGCGGGACCGGGCATTTCGTAGCTGGACATGTCACCGCCGTAGACGCTGACCTTGATACCAGGGTCGGTGGCAGTGTAGAGCTTGTTAGCCGGAGTACCCTTGGGGGTAGCGGTACCGGAGCCGGTAACCTCGATGTTGATGCACTTGGGGTAGTTCTGGGCACCGTTCTCCTGGGCAGCGGAGTGGAGAGCAATGATCTCGTGACGGAGGACGTATTGACCAGGGGCAATGCTGTCGGGGACGGTCACGGTCCAGGTGTTGTTGTTGGCGATGAGCTTGTCAGAAGCCCACTTGCCATCCTCGAAGCCAGCAGCGTCGATCTTGAAGAACTCAAGGTCGGTAGACTTGGCCTTGGTGGCATCGTCGACCTTGGCAAGGTAGTCGATGACGGGGCCGACGTGGGACTCGGGCCAGGTGGTCCACGAGATATCGAGCTTGCCACCAGCGGCGACAGTAGCAACCTTTGCGCCAGCAGTGGCGTCCTTGTGGCAGGCAATCTTGGTGGCATCGTCGTACATGGAGGGGTCGACGAAACCGTTGTCGAGGCACTCGGGGCAGGACCACTCAATGACCTCGGGGGAGGGGGTCTGGTACTGGAAAGACGGGTCGTAGGCAGTGAAGTCCTTGCCGTCAACCTTGATGGCAGAAAGGTGACCGTGGGCGCTGACGGAGGCAGCAAAGGCGCCAAGGATGGCAGCGGCTTGAATCTTGGAAGGCATTGTAGTGTTGGGTGTTGGAAAGTCTGGTTTGGACGAAAGGGTTGGTGTTCAAAAAGTTACTTCGAGATCAACGAAGATAGTAAAGAATGTGAGGCGCTTCAAGCGTGAAAAAGTGAACGAAGGTGAAGTGAGCGAATGTCGACTGACTGAATGACTGTGGTGGTGAGGAATTTCTACATGCTGGGCAAGAGGTACTCTTATACTCAGATGCTGCCATGTCGGAAATGGCGCATCGCTGTGCATGTGTCAGATGAAAGGAGTGGAGCTGACAGAAAGGGAACCGTTTCCGTCGTACAATGCTTCAGGGCTGTGGAGCTGGGGTGCTCGATGTTCGCAAGGTGGGCTTGTCACTTGTCATGGCGGTGCTTGTTTCATGGTGTGGCTTCTGATCCTGGCGGTAAACAGAGTGTACTGAGCAGTCCTCGGCCAGGTGTTCCTGATCGACGCAAGGAACATGTCAAAGCGAAACGCAAGAGGGGTTGAACATTGAATAGACGCCAGATACAGCTAGCACGTCATTGCACCGGTGTTTGGATACAGTGGCTGTACATTCTCTGCAGCCGAATTCCCGTACGCACATTATGCTCTTACAATAACTCTTCATTCTTTAGTTGTGATACCATGTTGTGTACTTGGTGATGGTGCAAAGAAGCTTGGGCGCCGAGAATCAACAACTCTTCCCGCCCGCTGCACACTAGAACCATCTCGACTCGCTTAGACCCAGCGCCTCAGAAACGACATCTACGCGTCACCAAATCTCCCACCACCCAGCGGCATAAACGCAACCACGGCAAACCGGCAGACCGCGCTCTACTCCTCACATTCATTAATCTGCAGCAAACTTAGGTATACAGCCGTAGGTCCGATCGTAGCCTCAGCGCCCTTATCTCCGTATGGTCGCTTCCGACTTTCATCGTTTCATACCACGGCCCCCTGAAAGTGGGTCAACGACAGCGCGCGCCTCCACTACTGTACGCATGACAGTTCCAGGCGCTTGGTACCAACGTCTTGATTCATACGAACTACGGTGTGCACTCTGTATTTGCTCTTTCGATCGAGACCAGGTACTGAGACTGGAACACTCCACCGAACCCTCCCACACACCCTTGGCAGTTTACGATGCATCGCAACCGACTTCACGACAGAATCCTTCCTCCATTGGTGCCTGAACGTGAGTACCTGTTTCTGCGCCTCAATCAATGCCGCCCGGAGAAACTCCACTGGTGTTTTATGTTGTCCGGGTGGGTCTCTGCTCTCTATGCGTTTCAATGTCGCTTCCATGCCACACGGGCCTTCATTTCGGGCCAAGAAACTTTAGCAGCCGGCAACCGAAAACAAGCAACGGCTAAAGCGACGGTACAGCTGGCCAAGGCTCGCTTCCTACCGGAGACCCGGTGTTCATCTGTCAAGGTGTGAAGGGTGTAACACGCCTATGCACAGCGTTTACTAAACATCATTTTTGCACATCGAGATCCAAGAACGACACCGCTGAACAGTTGAAATTTATCATTGTACTCCCGCCGCACGACAATGCTGCATTGAAAAGGAAACTGGCAGCCCATGCCATGACCCTGTTGGAAACGCCGAAAGTCACCCTCTAGTCATACATGTCGTTACAATACACTAGGTCCACCGAACGCCCCATAAACCGTTCACATGCCGTTAAGACGAGTAGCGCCATGTCTCAGCTCCATGGACATTCGTCGTAGGCTGCAGAGGCGGCAGCACTGGCTTCTGATCCCTTGGCACAGCTACAAGACCGCCTTTGCCGTCATCGCTGATGGGGCTAGGTGTTGGCCGTGGTGGCTCGCGTGGTGGCGGTCCTGGTGGGGTTTGAATTTGCGAAGCTTGCATGCTCCTAGGAAGGTCGTACGATAGACTAGAGCGGGGCCCCGAGGGAGGGTAGCGAGGCTGAGGTGCCTGTGGCGAGTGCGCAGTCATGGATGGCGTCCCTGTGGGGCCTGTCGATGTAGCGAGCTGCTTAAGCATCTGTTCCCACTTTGGCGCCTCGGGAGTCTGCGTCGTCCTTGCCATTTCCCGTTGGAAAGCATCTGAAGACTGGAACTGTGCAGATGGCCTTGGTGCAGGTAGGCCCGTTGGTGGCGGTGGACCGTAGTATCCGGGAGAAGGCGCGGCTCCGTGTGACGCGATAGGCCTTGGTGCGATGGAAGTAGGCGTACCGCTAGTTCTCGGCGTAGCCTGCTTTGGCATCCATTCGGTTGCAATTCCACCATCCAGACTGTAGGGTGATATGTAAGTTTTTGTCCTCCGCAAATAACAATTTCTGAGGTAGGGATAATTCATGACGTAGGATAAATACTCAGTGGGGGATTGTGCAGCATAGATGATTTCAGAGGAGGGTGTGACGGCGTACATTGGAGGTTTAGGAGTCCCAGTAGGGTTGCTCAGCATGTTTGAGATCGACGCACGACCGTGTGGTGATGCCTGGCTTTGATGGCTTGGTGGGCCATAAGGTGAAGCAGCAATCTGTCCCGCGCCTGGTGAGTATGGTGAGGGTGGCAACTGACGAGGACTCTGAGAGTATGGGTATGGCGGTAGAGCGCTATTGTGGGTCGGTTGCGCATACTTGTCAATCCCATTGAGCAGAGACGCCGACTGTGTCTTCCAG